GATCATAGACCAGTTAGTCTGATCGCAACACTGTGCCCTTTTTAAAGGGATTTTGAAGGCGGGGGTGATTAAGACAGAGGAAAATGGAAAGAAGGCTAAACTGTAACATGACTTTTGTCCGCGGTTTGCATCTGAGTTTCTTGATGAAGCAATTGATGTCTTGGAGCACTATAGTACGATGGGCGTGCTGCAACACAGCCTTTTGATACGCTGTCCCGCTAGAAATTATTAAAGGTCAAAATGATAGAAATTTAAATGAGAATATTGAGATTGGTAAGAATCTAAGGTAATTATGAAAATTTAATGGATTATATTGAGAGGGAGATTTTCAGAATGGAAAGATGCCTCAGAGACTAGAGTTTAGAAAGATCATATTTAGCATCCTCACCAGTCATTTTGCTATAAGAACAAAGTATATACCTACAAAATTATCAAGTGTGATAAATTTGGGAGACCTTGTTACTCTTGCTGTGGCCTTGATGATCTTACAGGAGGAATTAAATGATGCTGTGGACTGAATAATGGTGAAACTTATTAGCACAGTGTGCAAAGTCATGCAGATACAGCAATATTCTTGGTATTGTACTAAGTTGGGACAGAAAGACTGATGATTTTACGAGCAAAAAGAGGTCTAGTTGGTGGATTATAGGATTGACTGTAACCTGCCAATGTACAGAGAGCTAACGTGATTGTGAAATCTTTTGGGAAGATCTTTTCCATAGACACAGAGAAGCAATTTTGTTATGTTTACGTGGATGTCTGTGATCTTAAATTACAATAGGCATTTCAATTTGTCTGTTGTCTTTGTCGTTCTGCCAGCGGTGCATGGTGGGAGAGTAAGAGGTATTAGATACCAGTTGAAGCAAGAGAGGTTCTGACTGGATTTAAGGAGGAAGTTCTTCACCGTGAAGACAGTCAGGTGGTAGAACAGGTTGCCCAAGAGGTTGTGCAGTCTCCATCCATGGGGATTTTCAAGATCCGACTAAACAAATCGCTGAGTAACCTGCTCTGACCTCGTAGCTGACTCTGCTCTGTCCCTTCCTACCCAAATGATTCTGCAATTCTGAGTCTTTAAAGGTGGATAGGATGGCTAGGGGAATGAGGAAAAGAAATGAAAGATTGTAGCTTCATCAACTATGCAGAAGGAAAGTTGAAAGAAGCTATGATTTTTTTATTCATGTTAATACCTTAGAGGGAGGGAGTAATGGATAAATATCAGATGCAAAATAATACCAAAACAAGGTCAAGATCAAAGGACTAGAAGTTGGTTGTAAATACACTGGGAGGGGAAACTAGAAACTTTCTTCTCAGAGGAATGAAGTTGTGGAAGGAGCCTCCAGATAGAACTCCAAGGGGGGGGAAGTACGTAATGGTCGGAGATGGACCTGCACAAGGTTATGGAAGGAATTACTTGACAAAACAGAGGTGAGCTGTATGTTAGAAATGTAACGTGTTAGAATTCAGTCTGGCTATTCTGAAGGATTGGGAAATCTCTAGTTTTGTATCCCCTCCCCAATTATATACATGTTTTATGTTCAGTTTGTTTTCTCTCTGTAGCATCCGAGGTTAGCCACAGCTAGAGAGCAAGTATGCTGCTGCTTCTCATTGCATTAACATTTTTGATCTCTCACATGGTGGCACGTGATAGTTTGTGGATTTTGGTCTTCTACTATAGGTCTTACGTTTAATATAGGATGTGAAGATGGTGTTTTGTGGGTTTGCTCAAATAAATCTCCTATGTGCTTGGCTTTAATTGCAGAGCACCAGAGTTGGTGCCGTTGGCCTGGTTCAGACTTATTTTTGTATGCGAGAAATATATATATAAAAGTTCTGTGAAAAGTATGTATTAAAATTTGTACTTAAGTGGGTGCTAATAATGAACAATTCTACAGTCCAAGTTTTTCACTCAAGTGAGAAAAGCCTGAACATGTGATATCAGATGTTGCTTCTTGCTGCTTCTCCAAAGATGTCTAAAAAAAATTGGAGAGCAAAGATCAGACAGTTTAAAAGACAAACAAACAAAAAACCCTTGGGATTTTCCTGAAAGTAAATAGGGATTCAAGCTGGAAGTGATAGAAAGTACCATTTAACTAAAGATACGCGTGTGTTAGATTCTTTCTTAGGCAGTGGAATATAGTGAATATGGACAGAGAAAACTACATGAGATGGAATTCCAGCACCAGTATATAACTGATAAGCAGCATGTGGTAATATACTTTTCTAGAAAGTTGAGGCACAAGAGGTAGATAACTCATCCCTTCCCGTTCCTCCCCTTCACATTGAAGAACCGTGCAGTATTTTTCATCCATGGCTATTTTGTATAATTCAACATCAAGATAAAGTCCCTGGTCTGAGTGGTTGTTTATTATCCCTTTTTAAAGGAAGAAAGAATTGCAAAGCACTGAACTAGGTATTTACAAAGTAAATTTAAAAAATCTAGATAAGATTGGTCATATTACTGTTAAATTCTCAGTGCGTTCTTGATAGATACATGTGCAGTGAGACTTGTAAAAATATTGGGTTGACCTGTTTGGAAATGAGTTGAGTATTTAAAACAATGCAAAAAGAATCATCTTCACAAGAGATAAATGAGAATTTTTCTGATTATATGAAACTTTTGAAAGAGATTCACCCTTAGGCTTGCTAGAAGAAGTAGAAAAGGTGAGAGCTGACCTAAACTGTCACAGCCTCATTCACGTGTAATTGTGACTATGAGGTATTACCTGTGAAGAGGGCTTGTGTTTGTGTTTTCTGATCTGGGGTCTTGGCTGTGTGCAGTAGCATTGAATTAAAGGTTACCAGAGCCTATGGCTTCCCAGCAGGCTCTGTTCTCATGCTTAAATAATTGTACTAGGATGGTTTAATTTGTGCAACCCAGAGTCCCACTTTCCATCTTTGATATTGAAGGCACACAGTGTACTGACTTTAAAGAAAAAAATCATAATATGTACTTGAAGCTGTGCGCTATTGAGAGGGAAAGGTAAGATGTCGAGAGTGCTGACTGTTTCTACGATAATATTAGTTTTAAGTGCAAGCACGAAAAGGAATGAAAATTTTACTTTGAGACTGTTTCTGCAGCTAGCAAGCTGTGCCTTGCCTTGTGTCAGTGTTGACTGCACAACCACCTCTGTGCAAGCTGCAAAAGGGAGAGCTGATAATATAGCTAACCACCATGGAAAATGGAGAGTGAGGAGGCTTTTCTTCTTCCTGTCCCGTGCTTTGTCCTCCTCCTTCCCCCATACTGTATTCTGTTGCCTTTATCGAACCATTTGCTTACACCAGTAATGGTGGATGGGCTATTTCTGTTGGAAGATCGGATACTTCCCTGTTACGGGAAGTTGTGCAAAATACGATGTGGTAGGTTGACCTTGGCTGGCTGCTGGCTGCCCACCCAGCTGCTTTCTCACTCTGCTCCTCAACAGGACGGAGGGGGAGAAAAGAAGATGAATAAGTTTATGGGTCAAGACAGGGAGATCACTCAGCGCTTACTGCAATGGGCAAAACAACCTTGACTTGGGGAAAATTAACTTAATTTCTTGCCAATTAAAATAGAGTGGCACGAAAACAAAGACAAAACCTGAAACACCTTCCCCCACCCTCTTCCCATTTCCCAGGCTCGACTTCATGCCTTCATTCCCACTGCTCCTGCCTCCTGCTCTCCCCAGGGCAGCACCCAGAGCTGCTCTTCCTCTTCTCCTCCTCCTGCTCTGACCTGGCTGTTGCAGGGCTGTTCCTCACACTTTCCTCGTGCAGCATTTTCCCCGTTCTTGGGGAAGGCATATCCCCATTGGATATGCTTTCACTGAGATGCCACCCGCTGTGCTGGCTGCCTCAGCAGTGGCCTCCGTGGGGCCACTGTGGAGACGGCTGGAACCAGCCCCAGCCGTGTCCGGCACGGGGAGTCCCCAGCCTCTTCTCACAGAGGCCGCTCCGGCAGCTCCCCCACTGCCAACACCGGGACACAGCCACCCAAAACAAACGTGAAGCCGTTCAGTAGACTTTGGGTATTTCTGGAGAACATTTTTACTCAGAAGGTGACACGTTCGTTGTGCAGTGCTGCTGGGTCGGCGTGGCAGCGGTGCCTTTGTGTTACGCTGTGGAGAAACTCAGTTCTCAGCTACACTAACATGAATAAATGCAATTTTTACCTTATGGTGCTATATGTAAGGGGTTTTGTAGCTGAAATCTTCAAAGGGATATCCTGTTTCCATTGAATTTCAGTGAGATTTGGTCCTTTAACAGCCTCAGGCTCCTTTTCATGGCCTAGGTAAATTAATGTGAGGCTAAACCTTTACTTAGCCATGGCTGGTGACAAAGTGGTAGAAAATACTTTTCAACTTTTTTGGCTTAAGTTCGTAACTGCTAAACTTCTAATTTTAAGATAAGAAAGCTTCTAAGTTGACAGGAAAAAACCCCTCATTATAAGTAGTCCTGTAGGCGATAAATTAAGATGTCATGTAGACTGTAAACTTGAGAGTGGAAGGCATACAAGAAGCCTTCACCTCTCCTTGTTACTCTCTCCTGAGTGAGTACTAGAGGGCATCTGTGTTCCACTGCCAGTGAATCAGTGGCTCTTACAGGATATGGTTCAAACTGTATTTATTTGGCTGTACCAGGTAGAGACACTGTCTTGATTTTTGCCACTTCTGTCCTATATACTCCTTAAGGATAGCAGCAGCACTGGAGAAGTGAGCAGAGGTTACCTGCATGTCTCCTCCCATTTTTGAGGACTCCAGAGACTTCTGTTTTGTTGTCGACATTTGCTTGTTTCTCAAACTACTTTTGTTTTTAAATCAGTACTTTTATTATTGGTTTTATTTGCCCTTACACCAGCTGTGCTTAGCATTGTGCTATCAAGTTAAGATTTTGAAAGAGTTGGAGAGCAGCTTAATTGTTTTAAACTAGGTTTATGAATCTTGACTTGGACTTCAAAGCTTTGATGTCATCTTCAGAATACCTCTAATTTTTTATTTTCTAACTTTTCTATTTTGTATTTGCAGGCCTTCCCAGGTTCACCAGTCAGCCAGAATCATCGTCTGTCTATAAAGGAAACAGTGCAATCCTTAACTGTGAAGTCAATGTTGACCTTGCGCCGTTTGTGAGGTGGGAGCAGGATCGTCAGCCAGTCTTTCTGGATGATCGTGTATTTAAATTACCAAGTGGAGCTCTAATTATTAGCAATGCTACTGATATGGATGGAGGACTCTATCGCTGCATCATTGAAAGTGGTGGGACCCCCAAATACAGTGACGAAGCAGAGCTCAAAATTCTTCCAGGTATTAATCTGTTTTTCTTTTAAAAAATTAAGAATTAAAACATTAGTCAAGCGATAGGGGGGAAAAAACCTAACAAGAATACTTACAAAGGGGAGTGAGAATCTGCGCTGTTGCATTTTTGTATATTTTAAGTGGAACTAAGTGTAATGTGTGTTGGGGAAGCTGGTGATTGGGTTGTTTTTTGGTTTTGTTTTCTATGTAGCTTGAAATGAGTGCAGGCACTTAACCTAAAGGATTTTGGCCCTTGGGAAGACTAACCTATATCTTGCAGTTGGGAAACAGAAAAGCAAAATCAGTTATCAGTGTCTGCGCTCTGCAGTGGTTGGAGATAGGCTGGAGACATGCAGATACTTTTTGGCCATATTTAATGGTTTAGCTTTTAAGGGCTTTTTGGGAAAGACTTCTTTTAAAAAGTCACTAGTAATACACTTCCATTGTGACATGTTACAAAGAGGGAATTGACTGTTTCTTTGAGTATAAACGTTTGGGGATTTCTGAGTTTCTCAGGCTTGAATCCCATGTTTAAAGTACTGTTGAAGCTTCCAAAAGAAATTGGTGCTTAGTCCCTCGCTCTTGGGATGCTTAAGCTGAGGCACTTTTAGTTGTCCCAATATTTAGGAAGTTCTGATTCTTAAAACATTGGACCTTTTTGGGAAGTCTCCAGAACCCAAAAAGAGGGGATGACTTTTTATTTCGAAAGGTTTAGCTATGCCTATTGTGCTGAAATGTTTAGGTTTTTTTATAAGAACAAAAGTCTAGTCCTGATGTAAACTGTTTCTACATTTAGTGTGTTCTGTTTCTAACGACACTATTGCACGGAGCTGTGTGTCACCAGATGTTTTAATGCAAAGTTTTGAAAATTGACCAAGACTAAGAGAGGAATGTGAATCGCACTTTCCCAAACTAGGGAAATACGGGCTGTGTTTTGTATGGGTTTTCTTAATTATTTCCAGAACTTCATGCTGCCTCTTCTGAATTAGTCTCCATGTTGGAATTCTGATTCAATTTTTACTGCTTGGAGGACTGCCAGAGATGGTTGCTAAATTTCCATCTTCGGAGGTTTTCAGGGCTAGGCTGGGCTAGGCCTGACCTAGTGTTGGCAACAGGTGGACTTCAAGCAGGTGGTTGCATTAGGCATCTGCAGAGGTCCCTTCAATAAATACTTCTGCTTCTCATGACTATGTCACTCCTCTATTTAAAGTGCACTTTAAAATACCCCAATTTTACAATTGCAACCTTCCCTCTCTTAAAATCGAGGTGTTTGCTAGGCTTTGGAAATTAATCGTGCTTGAAGAAAGAATTTGTTTCATTAGGCTCTTCAGACTTTCTGAAAAGAAAGGCTCATCTCTTCTTCAACTAAAGATACAGTTTTTGAAGAGCAGCACTTTTGGAAAAGGTGCATAACTTAATTATTTTAGTTTGCTTTGCCTTCATGTTTCTATAGCCCCTCGAATGCTTAAGGCTTTTCTGATTTTTGGCAATTGACGATTTCCTGATGAACTTACATATTGTGTTGATCTTTCGAATTCTTTTGGCTCCAGATATAGTTTACTTGCTTTTGTAATGTTTTGCTGAAGGTGATTAAAGATAACTCTATTAGGGAATACAAATTACGCTCTTTCCTTGCTTGGTCATGAGTCTGAAAGTGTTGATATTGAAGTTCTGTGAAATCACTCCCAACAGGCATTTTTTTTTTTAAAGTGGGATTAAACTGTTGCACGGAAAGCTCTCTTAATCTTGAGTGGCCCCGTAATTGATTGTTTGGTCTGAGATGTATTTGAAAGAAGGATTTGAATTAATCTGTTCTTCATTCATCTTATTCCATTTTTAAATTGTTATCTGATGTGTGCCTGACAGCGACCCCTCTGCTTTGCTTCTAAATCTTTGAAATACACTGAACACGCACTTGCATCACACAGATTTGAATCCACGGACAGTGTTCTACTTTTTCTGATCGTGAGCTTCCTTAGAGCGTTCAGTCTGCCTTTCATCTGCCACCGAGCAAGCAGGGGGATACATTTCTGAGCTCTGCTACTTGAGAGCAGGTGCTTTCAAATATAGGAATGCAAGGTGGGGGGGAACAACTTAATTTTTGAGTCCAGTTTCCACTAACCTGAGAAGTGAACTCCTTTTTGTGAGCTTGGAGCATTAATGAGTTCTGTCTCCAGTAAATCATACAGACTCTCTCCCTAGTGTAGTGATTGCTTGCTGGCAATCTGTTACATCCATTTTTTGCGACTTGGCTTGCTCCATATGCCACTCCAGGTCACCCTCACTGCATTACCCGCCTGTTCACACATGGTCTTATTTCTGGGGCCACAGACTAGTTCCCTCTAACAGGGAAGGTAGGCAGAGCTGCCATGATGGTTTGTGTGTGGGCCTGAGATGGATGGTGTGATCCAGGATTGCTCCAAGTTTGGCTCCCTCTGCCTGGGACAGTTCTGAAACATGATTTCCATCAGGCCTGGTTCTCTCGAATACGGTGGCAACCTCATCGTGTTACACCTTGGAGCACGTGCATGCTCTTCGCATAGTGCTGTAAATGCTCAGTTATTATTTTTAGCACTTTGAGCTGAAGAACACCAAAACCAATTTTCAAAAGCTCCTGCGAGTATCGCATAGGTCCCAGGTAAGACAGGCCAAATACTGTGCGTGATAGGCACAGAATGGGCTTCAGTGAGCAGAAGTAGTGGAGGTACAGAATAATCTGCCCCCACTGAGGGGCCAAAAATAGCTTGTCTGATTTGGAGCTTGCTTGTCAGCAAACTTGTAAGTGCCCATCTGAGTATTAAGAATACAGCAATTAATGCAGCATAAACACTGGGTTTTTTGAGCAGTTGGCAGAAAGAGTTATGATAACTAACACAAGAGAAACGCTGTAGCTGTATGTAGGAACTCGTTTACTCTAATGATGGTGCAAGGCACATGCTGAAGTTACTGCAGAGACAAAGGGTACAAACTGCATCTTCTGTCCAGGTGTTACTGAGGCCCCTTGATGAATTGGTTGCAGTTTTACTTAAAATTGATTTTTAGAACCTTTTTCCTAAGGTTATGTTGTGAAGAGTCATGGATATTTTTAGGAAAGTAGAAAAATAGCTTTTCTTCCTGATATTTATTTGTGGTAGTTTAGTTCAGAGTAGATTGCTCGAGGGCCTTTATTGGTGGGTATGTTTTCGATTCTCACAGTCAAAGGGGCCTTTTCCTGTAGTAAAAGACTGAGTAAATAGGCACTTTGCTTGTGCTTGTTCTTAAGGGGGGGGAGAAAAAAAGAAACAAACCCTCTCCAGCCCAATTCAAAGCAAAACCAAAACTAATTCAGAGGATTCATTATTTCCACAAGGATGGAAAACCATGATGGATTTTTGGTTTAGTATATCCTGTGTTACTTCAGTGTGCAAATTATCTAGGTACTTTATTTCGCTTATGGTTGACTCTTTACTGCAGTAATTTCATTTTCTAGTGCATAAAAGCACTTTCTCAGGCAGCTACCTGATGAAGTCAGGAGATTGCCTGAGGTTGGCTGGACAAAGTTAAACCTACTCCTTTCTTTACTAAATCTCCACTAGCTGGTGGAAATTCCAGTTTCAGGGCTGTAGCTTTTAGCTGAAGTTGTTTTCCAGAGAGTTTGAGGAGTCGGAATCCCAGCAGAGTCAAATCAGTTTGCATGTCTGGAGGAAATGGTGAAGAGATGTTCACGTGGGAGGCTGGGAGAGTCTCTTACAGAAAACGGTTTGTGTAGGTAACATGATGATTCAATCCTGTGAAGATGCAGGAAAGAAATGAGATGTTTCATTTGTTCTTTTTAATATGATCATCTTCGGATTCTGCATCTGGTAACGACTGTCATTTACAAAATGTTTACAGATCCAGAGGTGCCACAGAACTTGATGTTTGAGAGGCAGCCCTCTTCACTTACGAAAGTTACTGGGCAAAGTGCAGTTTTTCCATGTGTTGCCGTAGGATTTCCAACTCCATATATCCGGTGGACAAGAAATGAAGAAGAGCTCATCACGGAAGGGTGAGTAATGGCTAACATATATAATTTTATATAACGGTAGGAATCCAGCCAGAGTTAAAATTTTAGATGAGAGCACAATTTGCTTTCTCCTTAATTTTAAACCAGGGGAACAGAAGCTAGCTTTCAAATGCTGGAGGGCTTCTAGACTGAGTGTTATGACAAGTAATGCAGTTGATGAGACTCATGAAACAATCTCATAGTATTTTTTTTGCAGACACCTGAAACCAAGAAATCTTATTTGAAGCAGGAAGGTTATTAAGAATATATTACTTTTAGATTGCCACTGGAGTAAAAGAAGCAATTAAGGGAATAAGGACACTGCAGAAAAGCTAAGACTGCTTCATGTTGGCATATTATGTGTGTGAAGTCCTGCAGTCGCATTACTGTTTCTGCTGTGAAGGTGTCCAGTATACATCTAAATGTTCCGTAAGAATTTAAGCATAAGTGTTGAAAGCGTAATTTCATAATTTCTCATTAAAACAGAATATTAAGATGTTAGGCATGATTAAAAAAAATAGTGGGCTTTCAGGAATGCATTAAGTGAAAACTACTCTATAATACATTCTCGTTGCTGGTGTATTCGTTCAAAATAATGTGGTAGAAAATATGTATAAAAAAGCAGAACAAATCTTGTCAAGGAAAGGTATCTTTTTGTCCATCTAATGAACGTATTTACTAGAACAAGGAAATTACAAACAGATACTTGAATGTTCTCAATGTCCCTCAAAGTCGGTGATGAGATTAATGTGGAAACAAGTTAATCGTGAAACAACGAGGGGTAAAGTTATATGGTGGCATGGCTGATACAGAAAGAAGCTAAAGGAATATGCAAGTCTTTCTACAGTACTCAACGATAGTAATATATCTCCTTTTCTTGTGTCAACTCTTAAATTAAAAAATTCAGGGTCTCGTAATTTAAACTGTCTTTATCTGGAAAATGCAAGCTTCTGTGGGTAGTGACTAACAGTTCTAATACCAGTGAGAAATTGTGTTGCTGTCAATCTGATGGCACATGATTTAGGTTCATTTTTTGTAAATATAAGAAATCATTCACGTACGAAGGATGGTACAGACTCATTAGAATTGCACAATCAAATGTGATAAAATGTCAGAATAAATGTGCCTGGTGAGAGCTTAATTTGTTCTTCTTGTATGTAAAATGATGTCATGTCATATCTTTATAAATTTTCGCTACCCCCGCACCCCATACTTCTCTAGGCTATGTCGTGTTCAGTGCAGGAGGAGGTTAAAGCTCGCTTACTAAAGAGCTCTCCTTTTTATTTTCTTCTCATTTTTTGATACAGAGCCCAAATTTTCAAATTCTGCTCTTAATACAGTGCTGTTAGTTCCCTTATGAACTTTTCTATGCAGGTTGTCACGATAACTTCTGAGGGCTTCACAAATGCTTTTTTCTTTTCACAATTCAGAGTGAGAATTATTGGAGAGCTGAGGCATAACATTAGTAAACATAGTTGATCTTCATATGTGCACAATTTGAACCATGTATGACCTGAATTTCAGAATATTTAGCATTAGTTTTTAGCACTATGTCTAGCAGACTTTTGCTGCAAGTACAGATCCCCCTGTGAACTGTGGGTCAAGTTGTCAGTCCAGGCAGTCAGGACAGCGTTCCCTCTGTGCTGTCACCAGCTCTTTGCTTGAAGCCACTTGTTCTTGATCATCTTTCCATCATCACGTGGACACTGTGTGGTGAGGCAGGAGCCACAAGGCTGTCAGTTTTCCCAAACACAGTTTTACTAAACATTTCTCTATTCCTGCACCAAACGAGCTGTGCAAGTTCTGTGCCCAGCCCAAGGAAGGCCTCTCGCCAACTGAAAGCTGCAGGTGCCTGTCTGTTCTTGGAATCGGCTGGTTGTCGCATCCTCCGGATGTGTACTCACTAAGGAGGATAAAGTGGAAAACACAAAGAAATACTACTCTTCCATTTGAAATAAATGTTTCCTTCTGCTCAAAGAATCAAAAAGGAGTAGAAAAGGGTTTTGAACAATGAAAACTGGATTTCTTTTGGCTTGCTGTACTACAGAACCTTTCTGGTCTGACTAGAGATGGGTGAGTAAAGTTACCTTGCTTTGCTGATCAAATTGATCTTTAGAAATTTTTAAATCTTTTTTCTTGTTACAACACTTAGCTTTTTTTCCTTACAGAGAAATGTGTGCTCTTTATAGAGTTTACTTTTAAGGTAGGTAAAGGAGAAAAGTTGATTCCCCCGCCGCCCCCAACTCTGTAGGAGAAAGCTTCCTCCTTGTTCGTTAAAGTGATCAAACTGTGCCAAAACACTTAAGTCTGCTACCCATGACTATGGCTTAACAGAGGAGAGATTCAAACAGCAGACAACAAAAAGTTCTTAAACTCCATTTACCTCAATAGCTGTCGTATTATTCTTTTGAATGAAGTAAGTGGAAAATCTCTAGAACTAAAAATTAAGATTCTTTGTTGGAGTAAAGCCTGCAGTTAGACTGCTGCAAAATAGGTACCTTAGCTTGTTATGCATGTTCTGTTAATTTAATTACAAATTAAATCACATTTAATTTGTATTAAAATCCCCTTTTGATATAAAAGTAAGACTTTTGTTATTAGCATGGCTTTACTTTATCCCAAGAAAAAACTGATCCTTTTCATCTGGACAGGTTTTAATGCACCTTCTGCCTGGGAAAGGGTCTTAAATCATGGCTTTTGTCTATACACGCACACTACAGACTAATATTAACATACATATATGTATGTATACACACATGTATATACATATATATTCATACATGTCTGTGTGTATGTATGGGTTAGGAAACAAAACTCGGATAGCATGGTCAGGTATGTCCCTAATTTTTACCCCTTGTTAAATGGTTTAGGGGCACAACCTTACTTTTACTTTTGTCTTTTTAACTGTGGCAATTAATCTAATACAAAATTAGATACTTTTCTTTCAGGCTGTATTGCTAAGGAGAATATGTATAGGAGCCTGTATGTTTAAGGAAAATAGATTATTTTTAAGGATTGGGAGTGGTGGGTTTTTGGAATTAATTATTTGTTATAAGACCTGAAAAAAGGGAAGGTGTTTAATTTCGATGGAGTATTTGTTGAAGACTGCAGTAAGATTTATGTTAATGGATAAATATGAGTAAACTTTAATGATGGCAGTCTTGGCACTTGTTCAAACAAGCAGCCTGTAATGCAATACATTATGAAATTAGTTTGCTGTGGAAAAATATTTTCCAAACTAATTTGAGTGAAAGAGAAGGAAGCTTTGAGTGTTGAGTGAGAAACTGGTGAAGTTAATGCAATGGTAGACGTTTCGATTGTAGTAAGACTGTTACGACTTCAAGGAATCCTTTCAGAACTAGTTAACTTAAAGATTTTTAAGAAATGTAAGTGATAGTTAGACTGCTGACTTTTTGGTTCCTCATAAAGAAGTCCATCAAAGACTCTGAAATACCCAGGTTCCACCCAGGACTTGGGGAAGTCGCAGTCCTGAGAAGCTGAAGAGTAAGAGACTATTCAGAGGAAGGGTCTCTGTATGCTTGCACCATCCGTAAGCCCTTCCCTCGGCATTGCTGTCTGGCTTCGGTCTGCTCCTTTGAGGCCTTTCGTACTGTATTCACAATTTCAGAGATAAAAAAAATCACAAAGTTGAAAATTGGACCCGATAACCTGTCGCTGGGAAAAACACGTGACTTGTGACGAACGCTTTTCATTGAATTGGCTTACTAGTCAAGCTAATAATCTTCATGATATGTAATAATTTTCTCAAAACTACATTGTTTGAAAAGAAAGGAAAAGGCTAAACCCTCTTCTAGGTTGAGCTTTATGGTGCTGGTGCTTGTAGCTCCAAACTAGAGCTTCAAAATACGAAGCGAGCCTCTAGGCTCATGTGAATTTGTGTGTGTATAATCTTGTGATATAGGGTATACTGCTCGTAGTTTCTTTAAGATTGGCACTACAGAATGCACACCCGCCCTGCCACACATGTGATTCAGTAATGTGAATATACATTCTACCTTTTCAGCTGGATTTCCTCCATAAACTCAGAACGAGTAAGGTCTCTGCCAGGAACATAGAAAATATTGAGAGACATGGAAGGAAGTAGGAAAAGCCACTGAAGTATACAGCTATTTGAATAAAAAATATATCCTTTACAGAAAACTTTCTAAAGTAAAATCTGCCTTAATGTCAATATTACCTGATATAAAAGGCTATAATGGAAATGTTATATACAGGTTGAATAGTTTTTCAGATTTTGCCAACTTTGACCTTTTTTTTTTTTTTTTGAATGTCACATCTGGCTAAGGCTCTTACTGTGTGAGGGTTTGTTTGTTAGCAAATGCAGGAGTAGTTTTGTGCTTTTGATGATTCTGAGGTTGAAAAGTGAAGTTTTAGGTGAGGTGGCTGCCAAGATGGATTTTCAGAGCTTGGGAGACGGGCACTGAGTTTCAAATGTTTGGAAGATGTTCTTTTGTTTTGAAACCTTTCCAGTGTGTAAATCAGTCTGTGCTCAAACAGTATATATTATGTAACTGGATTTGTATTTGGATGTATATATGGAAGAAAATACAAATGCATGTACTGCAGGAAATGCTTTAAAAAGCAACAGTAAACAAGACGGTTAATCTGAAAATAAATACTTTAAAGGACCCTGAACAATACCATTATATTTTAATAAGGCTATTGAAGTACAGCTAATTCTTCGGTGTTACTGGGCTGTTCAATTTAGCAGAATTTTATGTGATTGAAAAATGCCTACAGAAAACTGCAACATGGTTGTATAGTTAATAATTTTCTAAAGTGAGGAGATTACAAAGCTGAGGTTGCATCTGCGGCATTAATGTTATGCTGTTGCTGTGCGCGTTCAAATAAAGCCTTAATTTTAAAATCACATACATATTCTTAATGCAGGTTTTTTTCTTAATACTTCATATGAATGTGTGATATTTTTAATTATTACATATTATTGTTTGCCAGGCACTCAGAGTGATTTGTATTAAGTGATTTACAGTTGCCCAACTCAGTAAAGATTAAACATAGCAGAGTAATTATGGAGATTTTTCTGGTAGTAGCTTCTGCAAAATAATCTAATTTACTGTCTAATTTTATCTGCTGTACTTTACCGAGACTGCAAATAGATTATAAGATGTTTTGGGAACAGTAATTTAAAAGAGGGGAAAAAAAAAAGCCAAAACCTCAGGGTATGACTGGCTGTTTGAATACAGTAAATTAATAAAGGCTCACTATATTTTGTGATAATGAAACATAAAAAAGTGTGTGAGTTAGGTATCCAAAGTAGCTCAAGTAATTGTACATTATGAGTGTGTAACTGAGGGCTGTATGGAATGCATATAAAGGGCTTGAATTTGATTCTGATGTTCCCTGACATTTGATTGATCAATCTTTGTTGTTTTTAATGACACTTTAAATTATGTTAACACTTTCATATTAAGCTGATTCTTTGCCTCCAGTGTCTGAAATCTGATTGCTTCACTCTTTGGTGGAAATGCTTCATTGTTCTTACAAAATTAAGATGTTTTTACTTTATTACAAAAGCAGTTTTGCTTTAAGCTCACAGTTCTTCCACAGCTAATGCATACAGAAGGAATCACCAAGGAGTCTGACAGATTGATTGTTTTATTCCATGTTTTCAACAGCAGTGAACTTGTGTTGGATCACATAGTGGTAAACTCTGGACTCAACTCTAGGTTTTCTTGAGGAAAATAATCAAAGAGAATACAAGTATGGCACACAGTTTAGATGGCTGAAAACTATATAACCTTGTTTCTTGACAAAAAGGAGAATTCGTGTAAATGCTGCCGTGTGGCAAGTAGTTTGTGAGATCCTATATGACAAATTTTTGTTGCCTAATGTGACAAGGTCTACTAATTTTTTTTCAGGTTTAGTAATATCTTAATTGCTGAATAGTAAGTATCATAGTCTGCTGCCTCACCATGCACACGTTACTTCACTTTTCCAGAGGCTGGCTATGGGAAAATGAGTATCGTAAGGCACGTGTTGCTTTTGGATAGATAATGATGGAAGTTGGTGGATATCCAGAAAAAGGCACTATATGTCATCAAAATTACACTAACATTCTGTATTTATCGTTCCTTTGCAATTTTATTAGTCTCAGCTTCTCGCATCCAGTCAGTTCTTTCTGCACAGCCTTCTTCCCTCTTTTGTATCCTGTCACTGCTAGATGTAGTACATTTACCAATTGGCTCCATTTCCTCCTGCTTTCATCTTAGCCTTTGGCAGATTATATGCTACTCAGATTAATTTAATTCACCACGAATGGTAGAACAAATAGTCAAAGAAGCAATTTTACATAATAAAAGAAGATACAAAACTGCATATATGGATGTGTCAAGGTCCAGACTTGTCTTACACATTTATTTGTCTTCAGGCGTGGTTTTAGTGCAGCCTTAACATGTCTAACATGCCACTCACAAATAAGTTTCAGTGACATTGTTTCTGTTCACTTTGACAAAGCTCTTCTGTGTTTGTGGACTGTCGATGTCCAGACGCAGACAAAGAGGTTCAAGAATCGGGAAGAGCATTGTTTGCTTAGATCTTTTTAGATGGTCTTAGAACTTTCTTGGATGGTCAGATTTGCCTTGGAGGTGGTGTAGTCCAAGACTTCTAGGTTCAGTTGCTTTGTGCTAACTTCAACCGACTTGTGTGGTTTAAATCTAATGAATTTACCTGGATAGAATACAGGTAAATAGAATACAAGAAAGTGGGAGAAGAGGGGGGAAAAAAAGTGATACAGTTTTGGCAGCTCCTGTTAACGTCTCCTTTGTACAGATTTTTCTTGCTCGAGATAGGAGACGGATCATCCTTCACTATCTTTGTTTACTGCTAAAGCTCCTATTTTTTTCTAGATACTAAGTTTTCATCTGATCCATGATAGGAGGCTTCTGCCTTTTTTTGGCTGCAGTGACAATAGAATACATATCAAAATAATCCAAGATGTGTCTTCTCATCTTACTTTCTGTTCTTGAACCACTGTCAAGCGGTTCCAAAACAGAGTTTAATGACAAACTTCTTGCTGTTTTCCTCTTAGCTAGAACCTGTTTGCAGTGCTGTCCACATACTCCTGTACAATTTCTTCAGGCATTCCTCTTTTTAAAGCTCCTAATACGTTTTTTTAAAAACTTATTAATGTCTTCATTTTTTTTACACTTCTTACAAAACAAACTTTTTGTAGTCCTCCTGTTACTAGGTCATGGAAACAGGATCCCTTTCCTTATGGTATACCTGGGTGGGACATCTCCCTGGATGCTTTCAAGACTGGTTTCCTTCAGTTAATTCCAATAATGATTTTGTTTCTTCAGTTTTTAAATGTATTGAATCAGAAATTTTATCAACAATTATAGTAGTATCATAAACCAGTATTAATGTGGTAATTAGTTAGGTGAGTCAAAAGTCTTTGTGTCCTAAGAATTTACCTTTCCAAGAAGGTAAGAGCATTGGTTCTACTAACATAATTCTAGTAAAATTTCAAATGGAGAAAGCAATTAGGTTGATTTTTGTAGATTGGCCACTCTAGAGAGACCAAAAAATGTAATTGGTGTAATGCGCTATTCAGTTGATATTTTGAAAGAATTCAGTCCATTCCTGCCCGCTAAGCCGTTGCTTGATAATGCCAGAAAGGAAGCCATCAGGTAGACTCTTCCGGTTTTTTCAGCTGCAAGTAAGAGTGGTTCTGGATCAGCATCCAGTCATTTGTTGTCTCGGCTTGGGGCTTTTGGTAATGTAACTGGCATCTTATTGTGGACACTTGGAGTGATAAAGAATCTTGGAAAACTCTTATACAAATTTGTATCGCATAAAGGGGAATGATGGTTCCCCCATGGCAATGGGGGAAGAATGCTGAGGGTACTACATGTAGCATAAAATGCTACATTTAGCTACTACATTTAGCATGAAAAGCAGATGGTTTATAAGGGCTGAATTATAAACCTTCCCCCCACCCTTTACAAGTCAGAGGGAGAAAATTCTGTACAGAAACTTTGCCAACTTGTTGAATTTGTCTTTTGAAATTTTTTTGACCTGTATCTTATTCTGAAATCTTACATCTTACTGAAATGGCTATCTTTTTACAAAAATTCAATTAGTATACATAATACAATATTCGTTGCTGTTCCTTATGTTGTACAGACGTAAGTCTGGCATGTTATAGTTCACTTAACACTTCAAGCAGTAAGTCATTCCAGCTGTATCTGCAAAATGTTTGTTTTTTTTTTATGATGTGGTTGTGTTATTTCGTTTTTCTTAAGTTTTAGTTCCTATTGTCTAAATACCTTGGATCACATTTAATTAAGAAGAACTGAAGCTGAAAGTGCAAAAAGATGAGCTACTTTTGTGGAATTGATATAGTTGAACTTAATTTTAAATGTGAAGCCAAAGTATGGAATTTGACCATCTGGTTAAAAATTCCTTTCTAACATGGCTCCTTGTAAATGGCACCCAGGAATATTATATGTAAACACTTCTTCACTTGATGTGGATATTTCAGGCAGAGGACTTGTGTGTAACACTTTATTTAAGTCAGTTTGTCCATCACATCACCCATATGTCCTGTTTTGCACAGCTATGAAAGATTTCTTCTTCTTGCGGGAGGCAGTCTGGAGATCAGTGATGTTACGGAAGAGGACGTTGGGACGTATACCTGCATAGCAGATAATGGAAATGAGACGATTGAAGCTCAAGCAGAACTTACAGTTCAAGGTAGGTCGAATATTTAATTTTCAGAGAGAACAGATCTCCAGATGACTTTTCATAAAAGTTTTATCGTGTGACCGGTTAAAGACGCAGTTGTTTTTTGTGCCCCATTTTAAAAAAACAAACAAAAACCCCAAAAGACACCCCAACTCCCCCAATTCTGTTATAGTGTGTTATGTGTTACTCTGACTTCTTATTCAAACTGCTTATAATTTCATAAATATTCAAATGAGGAATTTGCTTATATAATACATCTTGACTATGGTTAAAAGCTGTTGTATATGCTCATACAATATTAAATGTGGGCAATGCCATACACTTTTCTAAAGGAGGATAAAGGTCACAGTGTGGCTAATCACATCTGAAAATTGACCTACAGTACTATTACTTAGGTATTCCTTGAAAAGGACATATATAAAGTGTTTTTCATAATCCTTAAATATGCTGTTGTTTTCAAGGAGCTTGACAGAAGATAAAAGCTGAGATACTTATTTAGTAATACCCTGATTTATTGTGTGTATAACTGTCTTGCTTACTCTTGAAAGCTATTTTTACTAGAAACAGCACTGAAATGTTGATAATGTTGATTTTAAAACATCTTTCTTATGTAACCTGTGGAAATAAGGTAGACTTGTTAAGGAGCAGCAAAAAAAAAAAGGTATACGTTTGGCTTCTTCATCTTTCTTACATTTCATGAGGAAATCTGTCTTTTTTTATTAATTGTATCTTAATATTGGTTTAAAATTCTTCAGCTAGAATTTACTGGCATGTAAGAGTAGTTCATATATGCGGTATCCTTGTAATAGCTTAACTGACTTATTTTACAATGGACTGTGGTACTAGAAAGTTTGTCTTAAAAGTATGTCTGAAGGGATAAATTTAATCACTGAACAACCATTAAGGAAGGTTTATCTGTAGATGAAACCTTTATGACAAAAAAAGTATTGTTTTTACATTGTGGGATAACTATTTTTATACCATGAAATGTTATGTAAAGGCACGTTAGCAGAATTCTTACTTCTCTATCAACACAATGTATGAAAATTTTATAAATTTTAGCACTCAAGGCATATATTCTTAAGGTGATACATTTTACATGTCTTACCTCAAACTTCAGAAATACGGCTGTGTTTCTGGTATAGAAGAGCTGGAGAAGGTCAGTTGTGGGGAAAAAATATATTAAAATGGACAAGTTTTCAAATGAAGTTGACCGTTGAACTGCTCAGTATTGAACAGCTAAAGTCTTTCTCTTTAGGAGAGTGGAGTATGAAAGAAGGTTTGTATTGGCATCCACAGCATTTCTGCGTTATGTCACAGCTATATTTAACCATGTCTGTGTAAAACTGAACATTAACAAGGTGCAGAATTTGTTTCCGAACATATCAGGGGGAATATTCCCCTGAAAGTGCATTGTCAATGCTCGTTTTTGCACTGTTACCTGCTACCTGTAACTTAAGCTTCACCTTGCATTTTATTCCCCACTGGTCTGGGGACTAGCTTTCCGAGCATGTCTTTCGCCTTCAGTAGGTTACTGGTACAGAAGCATTTTAGCTAGCTTTGCAGTTCTTAAAAAGTTGGGGAAGAATAGCTGAAAAATGCATTCTCTCTGAGGCCTATTCAAAAACAATATAGCTGTACTTGGACTCGAAGCTTTTTGAAAGCCAACAAATTCTGGTCATGCAGGAAAAAACCCCACATTTTTCTTATTTTGTTTCTTGGGCCAAAAGAATAAAGATAGGTGCTCTGTCGTCTTAAATACTTACATGCTTGATGCTTCATAGCACTTTATGATAGTTTTATGCAACTCACTGTGTGCTGTGTTTCATGCAGTTCCAACCTATATATTTTATAGAATTGGCATGAGGCTTTGAGTTTTACGGGCAGTGGCACAAATTAATAATATTAACAATATGATGCAATGAAGCTAAGAAAGTAATAGATAAGACTGAGATTATAGCCTTAATGTAGGATATACAGCCAGGTCACTTGGGGGATGGAAGTGACCTTGAGATCATTCTTTGTTCCTTATCTAAACTAATGTAAGCGATTTCTTTATTTGGTTGTAAAGATTTAGAATATGTTCTGCCAGTTCTTTTGTGCTGAATTTTTCTTATATGCCTGGTGCAAAAAAAAAAATTTCTTTTAATGCTTGAGTATTAAAATATATTAAAGATTATACAGAATGCATTTTGAAAAGTTGCATTTCTGGTTTTACTACTTAGTTCAATCTTAATTCTACTTTCCTTTGAGAGGTCACTGTAGAGAGTAATTGTATTTCTGCATTACTATAATTTGGTGAAGGGTTGAATAGTTTGAGTAACTGTTACATGATCGCTGTATCATTTTCTTCGAGACTAGAAAAATTGTCATCTCTTCCCACCTAATAACTGCATGATTTTGCTTAATTTAAGCTTCTTCTGTCATTCTTGGGAATTAGTCTGGCACAAGTTCGTAGAAGAAATCCATTTTTGGGGTATTTAATTCCCTTGTCTCATCTATTTTTGTGCATGTCTCTCTTGAAGCACCTGGGGTTTTTTGTTTGGAGATTTCAATAGCATACCAGAGGTTGTACTAAGGCAGTCAATCTTTTTTTCCTTCTATTAACGTTTCATGATGGCAATTCGGTGAGACATTTGTAAATCTCTACTTAAGTGTGGGTAAGATGGCATTATTTGACAGTGTTAGGACAGTTAAAGTGAAATGGCGTTTCTGTTGATGCCTCTTAGCTGAGATTTCCCTGCAGTGCAAGGTACGGATTGACTGAAATTTGTAGGTAGTTAGAAACAACCCACTTTATCCAGTTGTAAGCTTAAATTGTGCACAGAATAAAAAGAATGCTCGTTAAATGTTACTTTGCTCCAAGACCATGCTCCAGACCATTCTTTAACAAGGATATAAAAACCTGGAAGCTAAAGTGCTTTCTCTCTGGTGTGGCACCAGTGGCAGCAAGCTGCCGTGCATCCGCTGCATTGGACTGATTACCTGAATACCCGATCTTCCATGGCAGTAAGGATGAAATTGCTGACCTTCATCATTAAAGGGTAGGGTACCGTGGAGTGTCTCGCATTGAGGTGTGGGCTGTACTTGGCTGGCAAGGAATAGGTGCATTTTGCTGTGATGCTTGTGTATTTGCACAAAGTAAATAGGAGATAATTGAAGATGGCTTATTTCCAGCTGCATACTCCAAGAGCCCTGGGAGTTCATATTTTTTGTTAAATTTGGCACCATTTTGAATTCAGATAAATGTAATCTTAAACTAATGGAGTTTACTCAGATCCTATTGGTGACACTTAAAGATATCATCTGTTTCAGATGCCTAGAGGTAGTCTGTTGAACAGGCTACCCTGTGTCATTTTTTAAAAAGTAAGAAAGTTAGAGAACTTTCTGTTGCCCTAATGTTTGGTTTAAAAAATACATCGCAGAAAGTCTGAATCTGGAAAAATGGCTTTAGCTAGAAAGGAGTACTCAACTGAAAAGGTACTTAAGGGTCCAGAAGCATATTCCACAAATTAGTTTCTTCTATCTCCTTATCTACAACGTGTGTCTGGGAGCTAAGAGATTTTAATTTTATTCAGAGGATGATGGAAAATCAATGGGATATTTTAGTGAAGGCTGTTCTAAGAATATGCAAAAGGTATGGAGTACAGGTCCTAAGAATACAGGAAAAAATAGTATTTCACTACTGGTGAAAGTAAATAGTGGTATTGAAAGTGTTTTTAGTTGAGAAATCATTTAAATTTTAGGTGGGTTTGGAGAGAAGAAAGAGTATGTTTTTTATGTAGCCTACATTTTTGAGGAGGACAAAAGAAAGAATCATAAATGAATACCTGTTTTCATCATTAGTAACATTCCTTGTACCTTTATCTGTGAAACATCTTTGAATTTCAACCCTTTGTTAAACCTGGTTATTCTTTGATGTGGTACGAAGGGATCTTTTGAGAAATGCACAGGGAATTCAAAGTATTAAAAATCTAAAGTACATTTTGGAAGGCGATGGTTTTCAGTGTAGCTTCTATCAACCACCTGGCATTAATTCTGTATGTACTGCTGAGTGACACCAGCTGTTCCTGCCCTCCTCTTAGTGTGGCTGTGCCCACTGGAAAGGTTGGCACTGGCTCCACTTCTCTCCTCCCCACAGCCCCTCTGTCATCTATTTGCTCAGCTGGTTTTTGTGAGCTCTAAGGCACTTAACTTAAAACAGACTTTTTTTTAGGCTGATTGAAGCTATCTTACATCATTTTGACCGAAATGGGTTAGGGAGCAACTGCCTGAACAGCTCAGCAATGGATCTGTTGGAAGCACGATTTTCAGGCCTTTTCCTTGAAAAGGGGCAGATGCACGTTGCCACAAAGTGAGGAGACACCTTGAAGCAAACTCACAAGACTGCTCTGCATCAGAGAGTTACAGAAAATAAAAGTTTTTAGTTATGTGTGTGCAAGTTGGAGATTTCATGGACCCATGTGTCACGCACTGAATTTTTGACTTGCACGTTTGAGAGGTTTGAATATGGAAGAGGACATGAAATGCCCTGGAGGAAGATCTGTGCCTGAGATAGTCTCAGCCCCTAAAGCTCAACATTTCTGAATCCCATCCACATTTGAGATAGTCATTAGAGACAAGTATCAAATGGATAAAATGTGTGTACAGCTTTGTACTGTACTCACTTTCCCTTGAGTTAATCTTGGATGCAAGAAGCATATGTCATCACGGTCTCAGGCCAAGCACCTTCAAAGTACCTTTGCCAGGGTAGGTTACTTCCCATGAAGCGAGGCAATAATTTGGTGTCTGAAAATCTTCGGTACAAAGTAAAATTTCTATGAGCCGTGTTGACAGTGTTCCTTCCCCTTGCTGTCAGCAGGAGGAATGGTGCTGGGTACCAGATTTATTTACAATACATGTAATGAATTGAGAGCACTGGAAAAATTTGTTTTGCTCTCACCAGCAATGAAAGGATCTGTAGTATTTCCGTTAGATAAGAGTGGAAAGTGATGAAAGAAAAGCTGGGGAAACAAGTAGTAAATGTATTTAAAATGTAGTCAGCTGGCTTCTGTTCAGTCTAAAACCTGCGGCCTGGAAGAGCCATAGTGGCAGTTAAATACTGAGAAGGTTATAAGTTCATTCTTCATCTGGGAAATATTTCAAATTTATTATTGGGCCCAGTACCCCTGGGATTTCTGCAAATACTGTGACGCGCGTTAGATCACTGCGTGAGCTTCCTGTCGCCTGTCTTGGTACTTATGTTATAGATGATGAGTTTAGAGGGAGTTTTCTCTTTCAGTTGAAATATTTACTGCAGTTAATACTGAACCAGAAAATAATAAACCAAAAAAATTTCCATTTTCATTTTCCTTATAAAATTGATATGGCAGGTCTGAAGTCTTTAAAATAAATTAATCACTACGTTTGTGTGAGAAAAGTCAGAATTGCTCTTTTTTGTGGTTGTTGTCTATGTTACTACCTTTCAGTGTTTTTTTGAAATTGCAGGAAGTGTTGGCTCTTGAGTCATCTAGGGCAGCGTTCTGTGTCTGATAGCATATATTAAATATTACGCATTAGATGCCTTGCTGTGTTAATGTACTAAAATTAAAAATAAAATTAAAGGAAAGGTTTATTTTGGGTATCTGTAGTGATAAATTAGAGGTTGCACATGGCAGTAGGCTGATCACTACGTCATTTGTGCTGCCAGAGCAAATTGTATGGAAAAAACAAAGGCAGAAGAAGTGTTTTGATAGAATTATCAATTTTGTGCTTTGAAAGCAAATGCTGGAAATATTTTCAGTATAGCTGAAAAGCCTTATGTTAATGGAAAATCCTTATTCTAGCAAAAAATACATATATTGCAATGTTGGTCCTGCAGTATAAGAAAATTTTTTTGTGCTTTCTGTGCAAGGGCTGGGTAGTAATTTGGATAATAGAAGAAAGCTAGATGAAGTCTATGTTTTGTCTAGCTGATAGGTTTTAAATTAATAGTCAGTGACACAAATCAGATTTGAAAAGATGACGTTACTATGAGACAGCAGAACCGTAGTTGGTTGGGGGTCTAGACTATACCAGCTGAAACATTCCTCTGTCAGTGTAGCATACCTAATGCATTGTCACGTGCAAACCGTCTTAGGTGGTGAAATTTAGGGTCTCTAACACTTGGAGCAAGGTTTGGTGCACCCAAAAGAGGAAAGAAACTTAGCTTTCACAAATCTGTGAAGGTGCGCTTAGGTCAGGCTTTCTGAGAAGCGATCTGTAACCTTCGTTCTGCTTTGCTTTTCTTTTAGCCGTTCTATTTGCTGTTGGTGTAATGGGTGTTTCTAGTACAGAAAATACTTTGGGTATTGATGGTGCGTAATTATTTTAAGTTTTTCATAGAATCATAGAATAG